GTCGAGAGACAGGAAGGTGAACAGGGAGGGGAGGGAGTTGTTGAGGAAATTGGAGGAAGAGGGGTGGTATATATTTAATGGGTGTGGGAAAGGGGATGAAGAGGGGGAGTGGACGTATGCAGGGGGAAGGGGGGTATCAGTGTTGGATTATGTGGTAGGGGACGGAGAGGTATGGGAGAGAGTGGAAAGGATAAGGGTGGAGGATAGGGTAGATTCAGATCACTTTCCGGTGGTGGTGTGGATTAAAGGGGGAGGGGGGATCAGTAGAAAGGTAGGAGGAGGGAGAGGGAGGAGGTGGAGGTGGACGGAGGAGGGCAGGAGAGAGTTCAGGGAGAGAATAGAGAGGGGAGCGAGAAGGGAAAGGGAGGTTATAGGATGGGAGGAGATCAAAGGAGATATACAGGCTATAATGAGGGAGGGGCAGGGGGAGATTGGGGGGATGGGAGGGGGAAGATGGTGGGACCGAGAGTGTAGGAGAGAGAAGAGGGAGGTAAGGAGGGAGTTAAGAAAGTGGAGGAAAACGGGAGGAGGAGGGGAGAGATATAGGGAGGTTAAAGGAGGATATAATAAGCTGTGCGAGAGGAAGAGAAAGGAAGAGGGAGAGAGGTGGGCGGAGGTGGCTAGGAATGCGAAGACGGAAGGTCAGGTGTGGGAGGTAGTGAATAGGGAGAGAAGGAGGAGAAGGGGGATGAACGAGCGGATCAAAATGGAGGAATGGACGGAGTACTTTAAAGGCTTAATGGGCGGAGTGGAGGGAAGAGTGGTGAGAGAGACAAGGGGGAGGGAGGAGGAGGATGGGGAACCGGGGATTGCAAGGGAGGAGATCAAGAGAGCGGTGGGGAGGTTGAAGGATGGGAAGGCGGTGGGGGAAGACAATATTCCTGGAGAGGTGTGGAAGTATGGTGGGGAGAGGGTAATAGATGGGTTGTGGGAGGTATGTGATAGGGTGTGGAGAGGGAAGGAATGGATAGAGGAATGGAATGAGGGGATAATAGTACCGATAAGAAAGAAGGGGGATGGGGAGAGGGTAGGGGACTATAGGGGGGTAACGATAACATCGTCGGCGTACAAGGTGTATGCGATGGTGTTGGGGGAAAGAATGGAGAAGGAGATAGAGGAAGGGGGGATGGTACCACAGAATCAAACGGGGTTCAGGAAAGGAATGGGAACGATCGACAATATATATGTGTTGAATCACTTGGTGAGCAAGCAGATAAGCAGAGAGAAAGGAAAGCTGGTTGCGTTTTTTGTGGATCTGAGAGCTGCGTTTGATTCAGTGGACAGAGAGATATTATGGAGGACGATGAGAAGGAGGGGAGTAAGGGAGGGGTTGGTGAGAAGATGTGAGGACTTGATGAGGGAAACGAGGAGTAGGGTGAGGGTGGGGGA